TTTTGTATTATTTATACCTGAATTATTAATATACCGAGGCGTTTCCGACACACCATTAGCGTGTTATTGATTTTCGTTGCACCACGTTCTTCGTTATTTTTAAGCCGGTACGTTCTGGCCGTAATTAATTCGATTGAATCGATGCACTCACGCCGCACTTGTCGCGCTAGAAACACGTTAAATTTTCTCAGGTTCGCGCGCAACCAACTTCGTTAAAATTGTAGACGAAATTGCTTGATTCATAAACAGGTCTTTTGGTGTGGAAAATCTACTAGACTCAGAAAGAGTGAAATTTAATAAATAAAGCCCCTTGTCCTCAGTTCAAGTAAATAATTAGAATTGATATTTTGATCGTAATGTTTAACGAAATGAGAAAATTCAAATTCATTTAAAATATATTTAGAATAAAGATAGCTGATAAAGAAGAAAAATATTATTATAGGAATGTTTTATAAAATACACACATATACATTTACGTGACATGTCAACGTGTGATTTCCTTAGATTAGATTTCCTTAAAATATGATCTCATTAATTTTTCAACGACCAAATATTTCAGTTTCGTTACAGTCATAAAATCTCAATGCTAATTTAAATTCTCCATTACTGAAATCAAAGAAATTCTTTCCTAAGTTAAATACAAAACTTATTAGCTCTCACAATGTCTTATTCAATTTACTTTTCAATTGTACTAATTGATATAATATTGTCATACTTCTCTGTAGTCAAAGTGTGAAAACGGAGCAAATCGCAGCTGCATAACTATGTTAATGACATTATAAAAAATGACATTTCACGTGCAGCAACCTAATACATCTTCCGCGTATTGGACCGTTCAATCTACTCGTGCAATAACAGTTCTATATTAACGTTATCCTGGTGCTAACTAGCATCTCAAAAACTGCAACAAATGATTTGTTTGGTTAAGGGGAGCGAGGGTTGTTGCACGATGTTCGTACGCAGATCGAGGAGGGTTTCGCGGGGAAACAGCGACCGGCGACGTATACGTACTTACGTGCATATAACGTCATTCTAGCTGCAAGAAATGAGGCCATTTCTCTCCCCCCGTGTCGTTGCCGGTGCACCATCACGCCACCTCGATGCGCCCCCTTTTTCCACTTCGAGATACGTCAACGCTTTGCGGAGAGAACAATCGCAGAGAGGAGTGTATGTGTGTGAGAGAGAGAGATGGGAAGAGTTCAGTGCACTAGGCCGGGTGAGTTCCACGCACTCTTTTTCCTGGTGGATGCGCATTCGTCGCGGGAAACGTCAATTGACTGTAACAAAGTTTCCACACTTTTCGAGCAAACTTGACGAAATTTTCCCAATACGGGACAAACGATCGTTTGCCCGAAGATAGTAACACGGGAGTTGTACGCGAATGAAATCATGCAGTTCGTCCAGATGATAGTTCGAGTACTAGTAGACAGTATAGGCTACTTCTTAAGTACAGGCGAATTGCTTTGATAGATATTATAAAGAATGTTTATTAAATCGTGACGTTATCAAGTGAATAATTAAACAAAACCGTATTAATAATAGGGGAATCTACAATCTTTTACTTATAGTGTATCAGAGTATTTTTTCATGAAAAAATACCAATGAAAATACTGTGTCACTATCGCATTACGTAACACTTTAATTCGAAACGGCATCAAGACTCTCCGGTACACGTAAAATTTGTGGTATATCGAGTATGTTATGGACGAACAATATGTATAAAGATCGGTTAGATTGGCATCAAATTGGAGACTCGAGCCTATAAACGACACGGAAGTGGAAGCCCGGTATTCGAGGATCTTTCGCGATTCGCGGTCTGAGTGGTGGAGAAATCGATCGTCGAGCTCGATAAGCGGTCAGTCAAGGAAGGGATAAAAACGAGAGCCACCCCCGGAAGACGACGTGTATACGTGTACGTTCTAATCCCGCGGCCACCCCCGCTGCTTTTAGTCCCCATTTAAATTGGTGCTCCGCGTAGGTATCATTAGCTATTCAAATTCATTTCTGCGCGCGGCGTTACGCGACTGAAAATGTGCTCCGCGTTCTAACGGTGGCGTGATTGCCTCCATTTTAGTCACATCGTTGAAAACGAACTTCCTCGTGGCCCTGCCTCTGCTCGGGGGCGCGTCTCTAACCCGGGAGTTCATTGCACTGGAAAAGTTTCACCGGTTTTTATCTCGATCAACGAGCAAGTTTAACGTATCCCAGAATGTTTTGTACGGAGACAAAACGTAAACGAAACGTGAAGGTTGCTCAGGAAAGTTATTAGGTTAGACTTAACGTATACGAAATTAATGAGGGAAGGTCACGAAGCAGCCCGAGAGGATGGATGGTTCGAACGTAGTCACCGTTAAGATGGGCATGCACAACGAGAGTGCTGTATTGTAACTATCCCCAAATTCGTTTATATTAATTTTGTTCCGAACAGTTCAAGAGCTGACATCATTTTTTATCATCGTTTCTATTAATCTTAAAGGGCTAGACTTCATGTTTGCACGGTAATTGGCCAAATTGCACCAAATTGGTCAAAAACATGTTTCTACAAAATCTCTTCAAAAATGTTAAAATTTGTATCTATATAGATCGCTCTGATCATTGTTTAATGAGATTACGCAGATATCTAATAAAATAACTGTTACAGAGTGAAGCAAAAATTGTACTTACTGTGTCTTGAAATTTAACTACTTTTATGTTACAAAGAAGTTGTTCTGAATGAAATGAGGACTAGATTTCGCCTTTTCGAAGAGGTGCTTGATGAGCAGAAAATTTTTTAATGTAAGGACGATTAGGTTCTGATACATCTATGCACTATTTTTGCCGAGTTCTTGGTAAAGCAGCAGAGAACGTCAAGAATTTACCAGAAAATGTTAGAATAATTACGTGACTACTATAGCCCCTCAGTATACGAATCAAAGAAGATTACAAAATTTCGGTCCCCAGTAATTTAACAAGTTTAAATGTATATATTTATTGCATTTTTAATCATAAATACTTATCGTTATTTGGCAGTGATTTCATTTTATACTATTTTTCCACTCGTTAATTAAGTGACTGATCATCGAGCGAACATTATAAGTAGTAGGTCACGCAATTAGTCGGGAACGCAATTCAAATATCAGAGATTTTGTTTTTACTAGGACAGATCACAACTTTGGAAGATTTATGTTTCGAATTAAACTCTGAACTGATCGGTCGCGGTTGCCGTTGCGTTGGTAGTTGTACGCTAGGGCGTTACCCCCGGCAATACAATTTCCCCTATTTGCATTGCACAGAATTTCGTTTAAATTTATTTGACTACTTTTTCATTTTATAAAATATATAGATCTTAATTAATTATTGAAACAACAAATACTTTTCCAGTTCTTTATATTATATCATCCATTAGCAGGCGGTTATGCAATATCAATCGATAAAACCAATTAATTGGATTATACAAAACTGCAAAATTCCGATATTTAATCAACAGGACTACATATGTCATCAAGTAATATATCGTATTTCTAATTACAACTTTTATTCGAAATTAGTGCTAGTAAAATCAGTTTTACACTTCTCACAATTAGATACATTAATTATGAAAATGCATTTATCGAGTCTTGCAGAATATTTTCAGAGCTCTCTACTGTACATTTAATAAAAATTACTGCCACACAATCCGACGACTCAGTCTTCTACACCGAAAAGAAGAACTAATTGTTGAAATCATACGAGGACCATTCATTACGATAGAAAACCAGATACCAAGCTATACACAACGAAAGACAAAGCCTAGTAGAGGATAGAAAGTCTTTTGATATTAATTAAATTCGTCAAATATTTCTTGTACTATGAAGCAATATGTTTACCTTTGTACATTATTTGCATTTTATTTATTAACATACAAATTCAGTAAATTGTTAATTCAAAAACAATTAAGCTGACCAGATGCTTTCATTATACATTGTTGTTAAAGTAGATTGGAAATTGGTATAAATTACTCGAAGTATATTAAATATCATTGCATTTGAGAGAGAAATATGATTCCTGTGCATAAACATCAGTGAACACATCCATATAAAGCATCTGATGCAAATATGCTGTGGAACGGACTTCAATTAGTTATTGAATCTCCTTGTAGATCACGTAATCGCGTGGCACTGTAACATTACCGAAACTTATGTCCCTTTAGAGGTGTTTAAAAATTACGAGAAACGTTAATGGCCGCGAAATATTTACATGTTCTTCGTCAGTTACAGATGAAGAGGGGGCTAAAAGTGTACGTGAAAACCGGCTCGCTACCCGGGATGATTTACAGGAATCGTAATTTAACCCCGCTAGTTTCAGTCAGCATAACTCTCGGTGGTCGGTCCCGCCTATAATTTGCATGCGCTCATTTCGCAGACGCCGCGGCCTCAGCGACTACGTCGAATCAATAATTAAGATAGCATCTGATCGCTGTCACGGACCGCTGTTGTCCCGAAACGCATCGATCGTATTGATTTTATGTACAATACTTAATATATTTTATACGTAAAATCATTTTTGCTCATTATAAAACATTTTGCATCTTATTATTCATAATGGCGTAAAATGTTCAGGACGTAATTTTAGCACTAGTTGCTTGAATAGTTTCATTGGACAAATAAAAGTATAATAGATCTAAGTGAGAATTCTGGCTACGACCCTAATTATTAAGCTCATGATCTTCTAGCAGACATCGAGGTGAATTATAAACTTTCCATGTATAAAAAGATTCAATTTTGAATGCTTAGCAAACAAAATTGAACACAAAATAAGTAAAAAAAGTAACATAATTTCGAGACGCGATACTAATGAAAACGAAACCGGCAGTCATCTCAAGGTTTCCAGCAAATGAAGATTTGCACACACTTTGTTACATAATGTAGATATAATTGGATAAGTTTCTTTTTTTCCGTACATAAAACTCCGTTCCATAGCCGAAATTCATGTTAGCTGATGTCTTAAAATCTACCGAAAAGCATCTCATCTCTCCGTCTCCCAGGGACCATCCGACGACGTCGCACGTTGTCCTGTCATCGATGCCGCTGCCAACCTGACGAAATACTATTGTTTACAAAGCTGCCGCGTGCCGCGGGCCGCCGCGCCACCATCTCGCTACCCGATAATATCGATTGCCCGGTGCCGGTACCGGCGTGGCGCAGAGGAGAGTAGCAGGAATTTTTAATACTTCACTTATGTCGTAACTCGGCCTCGAATCCAACGCGCACGTACCCTACCATCTCCACCGATGTTGTTTATCAGTCCCGGGGATTTCTATCGCAGTCATCCGGTCCACCTGTCTGTAAAGCAACATCAGGTACAGGTGTCCAAGCGCGTTGTCAACAGCCACGCGGCAAGGTGCAACGGCCGAACATAACTACTGCGTCCCGTGAAATCCACAGGATGTGACGTAACGCAATCTGCCTGTCTATGAGCACCGAGAACTCAATCGCTGTACACAATACATGTTGCAGTTCCTGTCGATCTAGAAAATAAAAATTAAAATTAAAATTATTTGAGATAGAAGATGATAAGTAAGGTGAATTACTACTGTATTTTATTATTTGGCTCGTCTAAGTATTTAACTACTCATTTCAAGTTTTCAAGTTATCTCGGTAAACTTAACTTTATAACAAAAAGAAGATCACTTCGTACGAATTGAGACCGAAATCTCAAGTAAAACGAGAAAGTAGCGTAGAAAACCACCGGCCGGAGCTGGCAGCGCCGTGCCGCGCCGCGCCGCGGCGCACCGCTACATGGGGTGAAACCGGGGAACAAGACGAAGAGATATACATAGGTAGAATACCGGGGCGGGAAAGCAAGAAGGAGGGATAAACAGAAACAGTAGCGAAGCGTACAAGCGAAAGACTCGTGGAGCTAGCGGAAGGTGAGACAGAGAGAAGGAGATATTGATAAACGTAGCGGAGAGTGAAACAGGGACAGCGAGAAGAGTAGAGGGTGACCAGAACGGTGGAAGAAATTAAAATAGCGAGACGTGTCGGCTCGTTCGTCGGCATGGTGTATACTTATATACAGTGTTTCATTGCACGTAGGAAATATAATAGAAATGAATTTAGAGTACAGAAATAATTAAAGAAGACTGTATTACGTCGTTTATTTTCTTTGTGCTATTTAGTCGCTTCAGCTGCTTTCATTTTTTTATATGTACCCTGCGTACTACCATAAGTATATTTTCTCGTACATTATAAGTGTCTTTGAATGAATGTAATAACATAATGAATATGATGAATCAGTTACAGCAAATTCCTTAAAAGGACGTGAATAACAATTATTCCAATGTATTTATATAGATTATTTAAAAACGAATCCATCTATAGCTACGTTTAGATCAATTTATTTCTTCTACGGTCCCCACGCAGCTCAGTAGCACTTCCCATATGCAATGAAACACCCTATACATATACTCACGCCGTCGCGACGGGGAGATCGCAGCGAGATGGCGAGGGTGGAACGGAGGGATAGGAAGTTGGCTGGGTGGCGCACGCCGCGATGTCGAGGGGGCGCACAGTGGTGGCGCATGCGTACACACCACGGCCCTGACTGCACCGCAGGGTGGTTCAATGTTACGGGAGGGCACTGACCCGAGCCGGAGAATCCACCCATCGGTGCACCGAGGTGGCTACACCCCTGGTTATACACGCAGAGAGGAGCCCTGCAACCAGGCTTCCGACGATTCACTCTCCTCCCGGCTGCTCTTCACCCCTCCTCCTCCGCAACCCCCCAGGAACAGGAACCATCTCCACCCGTGTTGCTCCAACAGCCACCACCACCCGGGCACGTCACCCGGGTTGCCGGTGCCCGATATCAGCAGCTACGCTGCTACCCTCGACGAGGGCACGGAGCGTCGCGCGGCGCGGCCCGGGATAACCATTATCCACCTCTCACAAATCACCTGGACCATCGTTTACCCGGCTCGTCTTTGCCGCGCTACGGATTTGATGCATGGTGTCGGGGCTAGCTTTTGATAAAGGCTGAACCAGCTGAATGGCAACCGGAAGCCCGGTTGCTAGCCAGCCAGGCAGCCGCCCGGAAAGTTGTCAGCCTACTTATTATTTATTGGTAAACTAGCTCCGTCGACCAGCTCCACCCCTTTCAACGTGTTAGCCCACCCCGTAATAAACATGTATTTGTGTATTAATGTATCCTCTGCTAATACAAATTACCTTAAAATTAACGACGATAATTTGATACGTCCTGATAATTTCTTATATGTCCATTGATTCGTATATTCGATGGAAATTTTAACGCAATTGAGTGTTAAATATGTTAAGAGATTAAAGTATCATTTTCTCTCAGCTAATCAGGACATTAAGAACACGCAGACGCAGTGGTGATGCGAGTTCTTTAACCTTTCGGGCACTATCCTGGAACTATTTATGGCCGATCGTGAGAACGGTTATTACGATTTCTTGTCGCTACAACTCCGAAAAAAGTGTTCCCGAAAATGAAACCTCGTGACATGGAAACGTTCTTCAAAGAAGCAGAGCTCGTTTTTTCTGTAACCTTTTCGTTCTTTAACGGAGATCCCGAAAGAGACACACCATTCTCGATTAAATGCCATCATTCTTTTCACGTTTACGATCTTGACGTGTTATCGAAAGAACACAGAGGAGTGTATGAAACACGTCCAAGTTCCATCATGATGAATAGAATACTAATTCTAACGAGAACTGTGAATATCACATTTCCATGTCTCCAGATTTCTGTTATAAGTCAACATCACATCGTATTTCGATATCTAGAAATAAACTAAATTACAACTTATTTGAGTATACAAGTAAACGAAGAAGCTTTCATAAGTCGAAAAACGTAATTAAACACGATTTTGAAATCTCTAGTTTTGCGTGCATCGACTGCCGGTTGTGAAAAGTGTAATTTCGGTTTAAAAATAATTCGATTCGCCAAGTCCGAGGGGGCAGAAACAGTGAAACGGAACCTTTGCCAGTGCTTCGAACGTTAAATGTCGGATGTTGGCTTCCACCGATGCCTATATAACTAGCACTTGAGACGACCTGGCCTGGCAGGGAGTTTGCCAGTGGGGGTTGACTCCGCCGGTTGGGTCGATTCCCTGTTATGCTAATTTGTCAACGGTGCGGACTCGGGGTAGTCGACCGAGCCTCAAAAATTATTCCACGCCCGGGTAACTCTCTTCTCTTCCTCTCCGTTTGTTTCGTTCCTCCATTGCCTAATCCCGTCCCTATCTCTCTATTTCTTTCAACCGCAGCCGCTCGAAATCGGAATTATCGTGCGGTTCGATCACGAAAATCAGTTCCTCTTTAATCCCAGAGGTTGTTGTTCCATCGTGGACGGCGCGATTTGAAAGCACACGTCTCCACATGTTCTCGAGTGGGAAGGTTGTCCTATTGGACAAATAGGACATGCCGTGTCGCACTGCAGGGATCAAATAAAAGAAATTACCGGCGATTATCATCGACCACGTGTAGCGAATGAGAAATATCGTCCGGAATCCGACATGACCCTGGGATAATGAGCTACTCGGTCGCGAGACGCGAGATTCCTTTAGCTCGATCGCTTTTCCTCGCGCCTAACTATTTGCAAAGCGAACGCTTCGAGCGAATGAAAGAGATGCACTGATTTATGCGCGACCAGTGGTAGTCTGGTCCGAGTTAAACTTCCTCGGGGCCTGGGTTCTGGAGCTTTTGTGGCCACTTAAATGTATCGCGATACTGCAAAATTGAGGCCTCTTTGAATGCTGTGAAGCCTTCATTAACTCTCAAGACTATGCGCAACAGAGTACATATTTTTGAAATTGAGACTCGAAGGCAAGGCCCGAGGCTGCATCTTAAAGTTAGGTGCATTGCAACATTGTGAGAATTGAGACCCTTCCGATGGTAAGGCTTGCGGCATACAACCATATAGCCCTTTTAAGAATAAATTTATGGCAGTATTTTGGAGACTGAGCCTCTTTCCTGCAACAGCCTTCGAACATTTCATTAATCCAGGCTTATGATACTTGTCGAAGAAGAAATGTATTTTCTTAGATTCATTTAGAATTTCGAGACACAAAACAAACGTTTTAACTTTTTTACATAAAACTCCTTATTACACAATTACATGAATAAATAAATTATAAGGTCGATAGGAGAGCTCAGTGGTTAGAACAGTCGCTCGGCAAATGAAAAACTCGGGTTCGATTCCTGGTTCAACCGGAGCAAATCAACCGATACTTTAAACAAATATCAGAAGAAATCAATTTGAATTATTTATATTTTATACTACGTATATGTGGTGCCTGTAAGGAATCATCCTAGGAGCCTACAATTGAAAAATAATTTACAATAAATCATATAAAGGATGTTAACGGTTACATGATATTATGAAACTCTCGCGGAGTTGAATATTGGTTTGTATTCAAGTGTTCTATCGTATAACATGTGCGATTCGAATAAAAATTCTTTGCTTTAAAAATAGTATATCTACTTCCCTCTTATTACAATTTGAGTTACGGATCTTTAATACGAAGTGTGCAAGTGAATATTCCCACTTCTCATTATCCTACTCTTCGTCGTATTTTCCCAGACCCAACGTTACTGGTTTGCGATGAGTGTCAGTAATGCTAATGAAAAGTATCGATTGCTTAGATTACGTACGTCTTGCTAGCTGTATGTTCTATCTCAAAGAATCACTCAGCGGTGCAAACATGAAACGAATTAACGTACCATCCAATCATTCCTAATTGCAAGAATCCACAACTGAAGTCTGTGGAGACACAATCCTATTAAGAAATTAAACCCTACCAATTAGCAATTTTCTCTTTTGCTAGTAACGTTGGCTTTATTTTATAAAATTTTCTGTTTCAGTTGGTACGCTTAAATAATTAGTATGCTTAAAGATTAAAATAATAGCATAAATGTGTGATGTTAATAAATCTTATTTACACGCACGAATAAAAATCGAATTCCAATAAAAATATTTAACTCCCTCTCTTCCTCCCGTCATTCCCGTTTTAACGGATTTCGGTCGACCGGACTGTCTGATCTAGGAAATTACCAGCTGGAATCAGAGGAGCGGACGGGTTGCCGGCGCTGCGCGACGCGGCGGTGTGGCGAGGCATGGTTACGGGGAGCGTCGATCCCCGGGGATTCCGTCGGTCGTGTCGACGACCGGGAGTACTTGGAACGTCCCAAACTTTCCTCGTTTTCGCAGACGACTCTAAACCGTGTCGAGTTCAACGCATGTCCTGAACATCCGCCCGCTACTCTTGTCCAGCCTCTATGAAATCGAAATGGATTTCCGCGCGAAAATTCCCGGTTAGAAGAGCGCGCACATAGGAAAGACGGCGCGACGTCGTCGTCCGTCACGCGACAACGCTCGTTTCGTCCGGCGAGGATTGGCTATGAACGGGTGCCGGGAGAAAGAAAGAACGAGGATGAGGGAGGAAAGAGAAGCAGACAGGGGCGTACGTCGTTATTTCGCGGTGGATGCTGCGGGATCAATAGCGTGGAGAGCTGAAGAGCCAGTAGAGAGGGAGACAGCAGGAGAGGGATAGAGAGGAGCGGAGATTTGCTCGAGTGTGTATCTGTGTGTTGTATATGCGCGACAGAGAGGATGTAGGAGCCGAAGGGTAGATGGAAAGAAACGGTGCGACGGCAAAGAACAACCGAGAGAGATTCTGGACACAGTGGGGTTGGTTACGAAGCGAGAGAAGGACGAGAGACAAAGGGTGACTCGACTCCCCTAGTCTCTCTGCTAGCTATACAAACCTATGGTTCTCTTTATTGCTCTCAGCCTCCCTCGCGGTATTTCTCTGTTCATCCTAACTTTCTCTCGCTCTATCCACCATCCTTACCACCCAACAACCCCAGGAGTCGATGCATCCAGGGTCGTTGCTACCGGCAGCGAACGATCCAACCCTCCCTGAGCCCCCTCTCCACTACCCCTCTCGTGATGTCGCCCTCTCGTTTTCTCCTTCTCATTCAATCCTCTTTTCTTTCTCCCTCCGAAAGTGACG